AACAGAATACAAGAAAAAAAAAGCTATTACACTAAAACTATTCTTATCAATGCTCAATTTTCATATTTCTATTTATCAGATGAATTCAAAAAGTTGTTTAAATTGTAAAATAATAATTATTATGAACTTTTACAAATCTTTTGGAGTAATTTTCTATGATCATATCCAACGTTCATTGGTTGCAAAAACAAATCGATCTGGAAATTTGACATATTACATATGAAATGATGAAAACTTAGATTATTATATAAATATGATATATTGATAAATATAGAGTTCGATCATGCAATGGTGGAAAAAATCAATGCTCAGGTGGATCATCAGAAAAAATTCAGTGTAATTTGCCAGCTTGTGGTACAACGTCAGAGCAAGAAGGTAGCTGGAGTGAATGGACTCCGTGGAATCAATGTTCCGTTACGTGTGGTATCGGATCGCAAGCACGATATCGACGATGCACCAGTTCATCGCAAAATTCACTTTCATTCTCATGTCCAGGTATAAAATTATTTAGAATACTAAATTTTCATGTTTAGGTATAAAATTGTTTAGAATACTAAATTCCCATGTCCAAGTATAAAATTATTTAGAATATTAAATTTCCATGTCCAGGTATAAAGTTGTTTAGAATATTAAAATTTTGCATCCAAAAAATTATTAGCAATGTAATCTTTTTTTCTGCATCCAAAAAATTAGCATATTGTGTGAGCAGGTTAATTAGTATTATAAATGAATGAGGTCATCATTGATACTGTTACGTGAAAAGTTTTGAGTAGTGAATTTAGAAAATTCAATGGAAACGAGACAATGTAATATGGGTACATGCAATACGGGTACAGTTGGTTTATGGGGTAGTTGGACGGAATGGTCACAATGCTCAATTAGCTGTGGACCTGGAATACGAAGTCGAAATCGTTACTGCACCAAAGTAAATCTTTGATATTAAAAATTAGAATTGGATCAGTTAAGTATATTAAAATATAATCAACTAATTACACTGTCGGATGTTTTTGTTTTTTGTTTTATTTTTGAAAATTAATTAATAATTATCGATAAAATAATTTTAAAAATTACCTTTTTGATATTTTCATTATCATAATTAATTATTTATTAAAAAATATTATTTCTCAATTACAGGAACCATGCGATGGTTCAGGACAATCAAGAATGTCATGTAATTTGGGTCCATGTGAAATTAACCTTCGATGGTTGCAATGGGAAGCATGGTCACAATGCACTTTGACCTGTGGAAAAGGTGTACGTAGCAGAAAGAGGTAATTTCAGATTACAGATTCTT